TATGCTCTTAAGGTCCTAGGTACGATACTCAGTATAGGACGCGTCAAAAGTGCGCATCTACAATCCCGCACGTGTGACTCGAACACAGTGCCGTTGGTCTCTCGAGAACGTTAAACCTCTGCACCACTGATACAGTATCTAAAGATGTTAATGTTTAACTCCTATCGATCCAGGGCATTAGGCGATCATCTTCCATCGTCATTGGTGGATAACTGCATCACACTCAACACAGTCCAACTCCACCAATTACGACTTATCACAAGAACTTCAGGAATTCTCTCTCACTAATTAAAACAATAATTATCAATAAAGGATTGTAAAAATCCTTTCATGAATTAAATGAATTTCAATAATTCCTACAACCCTTATTGATAAATGAGAATTGACGTAGCAAGTATAGTTTACTTAACATACAGTATTCAATATATGTGTAGATTATTTTGAAGTTGATGAGAATAAACTGATATACCACACCATATCTGCATACCAATATAAGAACATGAATATTCAATGTTCACAAGACAAGCACCGAAGTTTTTCTTCAATATTACTTCATTCAATTAAAACACAAAATCATTGTGTACATGTAAGAAAGCAAAGTAATACACATACACAATTACACATAAGATCATCATTCTATAGAAGTATCATCAGAATTAAACATTAATCGTGGATTGGTTGAGGTTAGACATTAACACCGTTGGAAGCCGGGTCGGTGGTAGAGTTGGTTAAGCGCCTGGCGCGAGACAGACAGGTCCTGGGTTCGAATTTCGCGAGACGGGATCGTGGATGCACACTACTGAGGAGTCACATACTAAGATGAAACGGCCGTCTAATGCTTTCACGTTTTCCATGGTGTCCTAGTTTCAATTGACTCATGATTTCAACTATTGAGAAAAATAATTGCTGATTATTTTTCAGTATCAAATAGTTCTTTTGTTAAGACTGCTACTTTCAGTGATGCACTGCAGACAGATCGTTAAACTATTCTGACTTCTATGATCATAATAACAATATTCACTACTATAAATTGTGCATCGGTAACAAATTCTCAGCATCAGTTGTGTAATATTACGATAAACTTTAGTAGCCTGGACCTGTCGATTCATCTTTAATGATGAAAATTTTCTATCAGTTCAGATGCTGCAACCACTTTTTCTCATCAGATTCTCAATACATGAATTCCAATATACTTGTCTTTGTTCCTTTTTACTTATCAAAAGATTAATAATAATAAAGAGAACATTATACGAACAACTGGAGTAGCTTGATGCAACATTTTCAGTATTGAAGTAACGTGATAAATTGTGTAAGCTATTCACACAACACCGCAATAGTACATACAGTTAGGATTTATATTTATATTCTATTCAAAAACAAATATGAGGATTTATTTTAATACTTGCACAGTTCATCCATCCATCAATCAATCAATCATGTATTCATGTTCTATTCACGATTGACTTTGATTTCAGTAGTATCACTGATAGTTCTGATACAATGAAAATGTTACTCAAAGACAATTATATATAAAAAAGTGTATACTTGATAAAGAACTATCAACATTAGTTTCAAGTTACTTTCTCTTATCAATATGTGTGTGTTTAGATCTGTTAATAATGTTTACTTATTCAATCTAATTACTAATCAACTTACAAATCACTAACATTAAGATTCGTATATTTCCTTATACTTTGTCTGTTCTCTGAAGAAGAAGAAGAAGAAAACAAAAAGACTCGATTATTTTAGGACTTATATATTTAATATATTTGTGGTGTGTTCTGATGTCGACTGATATAAGTAGTATGTATCATCAATCGAAAGTGAAATACCTGGTGGTAGAAGGTTAAGAAGATCGAAGAGAATGAAAACAGAGAATGATTGGTGTAGAAACGAAGGAACAATCAAGTTTGAAACGATTAATTAACACTTTGCAAATGAAGTATTTACTGTATGGTTTGATTATCACAAACGTATGTATGACTCTGATCAAGTTGTTCAGAACAACAAAGAACAATTTGAGATTAAACCAATCAACTAAGTGAAGGCTTAAACACTATCAAAAGTATTCAATCTGAGATAATATGACATACAACTACACAGGTTTACAAATGAATAATTAACATTTATGAACTAAATCCTAATCAAGAGACAATATGATCTAGCAGGAAGAATCAATTGAGTTAAACAAATATATATATGATTATTAAAAAGTACATTGAATAGACAAACAATCAACCTGATCGAATTGTAGTCAAATATATATAAATATAACGTTAATTCATCTTTGTACAGGTTGTTTTAATCTTCTCATTGATGTATAGGATTTGAATTGATCAGTCTCTTAGTAGTATATGACCATCTCCAATATTACCTTAAGCTACAAGCATTATAAGCAAAAATGGATAGTAGTTAACAGTGGAATTCAGAACGTGCATTACGTTTTATTTAGGACTCATCAGATACCTCAAGAAAAAACTATCTTTCTTCAATGTAGGTAACTGGGAAATATCAACTGTTCACATAACTCTAGCAGCATTCAAAAACACCTTGTCTGTATTAAAATAACTTCATCTCTTTTTAATATTTTTCCTCTATCTCTACTATCAAATTCTGCCTTATAGCTTCCACTTACATAGTTATAGTCATGTGCAACGTAGAATCTGATACATTACTACGTCAGCTCAAGTTGTCATGTCTTATTTGCACAGAGAGATAAAATTATCGAGACAAATCCCAGATTACTCAGAGTAGTAATAACATTTGTAGTAGTAGGAAAGATTAGGTACATACAAAGAAAAAAGGTACATAGAGATTTTGTGACAAAGGTTAGGTTCTAAAGCAAAACAAGGAGTGAATGCATATGGACCATAGTGAGTGGTCCTGATTTGTCATCAAAAGTTGTGAATCACGCCGACTCCAACGCGTTAATCTCAAGCTACTTAAATGACTCACTCCACTTGTTACTGACTTCATGGACTAGTGCCACATCTTGATTTAGCCACTTTCAGCTTACTTAAATCTACTCTTAAACTAGACAATATTCCCCGTCAAGATAGGTGGTGATCGGGTATATGTAACAAACATCCCAATCACCTTAGTTGATAAAGATTCATTACATACATACTACTACTAGTAATGCTGAGGATACAAATAAATTCTATAATATATTGAAATGTCGATTCATTCATACATCATTTTATGATAATAGAAAGAGTCTATAGAAAATCAATTTCACTTCTCTCAATTGATGTATTCAGTTAGAAAGGTAAGTTAAGGTGAGTGAAGTGAAGCGAGGTGGAGTAGCATGCAATAATCACTATCATAACAAACAACTAACTGAATAAATAAATAAATAAATAAACCAGTGAAATAACCGTTCAATAAAAATCAACGATTTCGTTGAGTATTTTTGAAGTTTCAATGTGATGTGTTTTTTATTCTTCGAACAACTTCAAGTTGGTTTTCATTTCATATTCATAAAAGGACTGTGTTATACTTGAGTTGATCTAGAATAGTTTCGATATTCAGTCATTGTAATGCATTCAACATTTACGGTTATTTTCTTGTTGTTGTCTAACAGTAAATCAACCAGCACTACATATAGAAGTTTAATTAATTATCCCTAAAGATTTCGTCATTTCAATTCATCATCAATTGGTGACGAAATTTGAAATTATTCAATGGTTAGATGGTGTCATTTTCATTGATGAAACTTGAAGGTAATGGATACATTTGTTTCAATGTATATGGATTTTTGATTGTCATCAAACGGATGTCAACGCGAAAATTTCAGAAATTCTCATTGTGAAAATTAATAAAAGATATCAAGACCAACAGAGTTGTTTTAAACTCAATCTTTATTAAACTTCACTCTGATATGCGATACTTCGTAAAACATTTATGACATATTCATAAAACACAATGACATAAACAGTTATATATTGTAGTTGACATCATGAAGTTTCTGTGACAAAACAATCATTGAAAACCAGTAGGCACTAGACAACTGTTTCATCCTTAATATAAGACTTCTGAATAGTATAAATCCACAAGCCTAACATAGATCAAGTTCAAAAACAAAACACCTAACAGCCTCTCTATAAGCTTTAGACCGCTGAGTCAAGAACGATGGTTTTGAAATGACACTCGGATTTCTTCTTTACACGAATGAGACGAACATTTATACACGATACCGTGCCACTATCTATTGTACAGGACTTAAATGCGATTTCGAACACGTGACTGATCACACTAGAACGTGAGAATGTTTCAACGACAATAACGAACAATAAGAAATAATAATGTGATAGAAAACATGTGACACATCTAATACTTGTCAGACCATCTACTAGTCTGACTAGGTAAACAATCAATCAGTATTTTCATCAGCTACACATCAGGTTTACGTTTTTAACTTGAGTCAGCTCGCAGCAAGCCTCGGTAATGAGTAATTTCGAGAAGTAACGCCTAGAGTTCTACTAACAGGCTATGATCAATGTAGTTCGGTTATATCGGGTCTGAGGCAACTACACATCAATATCACTAGATAATAATTTCGTAATACTGTAAGTTGACTGACTGATTGTCTTCACAAGCATCAACCATTAGGTCCCAACTAGTGAGTATAAGGATTTATGTCTCGACATCAAGTCTGAAATTCTTTCAATGGTTCATCAGTGTAAAATACTGAACAGTTCAATGCTACAATGAATGAAATAGCCATTTAATGTTTCCTCATTTTCAATTATTATCTGTCTACAATCAGTCCATCATGTGTATAACATAAACAATCTCCGTAATAAACAAAAAACAAACTAACGCTTACCAATATATTCTAACACTATGCCTTTTCCATGAATAATATATAGATCTAATAAATTTCAATTTGATGTAAACTGTAAACCGTATACATTACTGATTAGACCATAAATTTGACCAACTAAATATGATTCATCTGGTGGATATAATTTATTATCATCTATTGAATTCAATGAAAATTATCCAGAGGAGATCGAAGAAGAAGGAGAAGATAATGATGAATTGATCATTTCTACTTCTGGTAATTTTGTTTTTGTCTTCGTAGCGATTGTTTTCAATGTGGAATTATTGATTAAACAAAAACGAATTATTGGTATATTGTTAATTGTACCGTCATAAACATTAGATATACGATCATCCACTAATATATAATCATGACTACATACAATTCCAGGATTTGATGGACATGCTGATCCAGTAGCTAATATTAAATTATCATTATTATTTGATAATACAGATCTAAACGATGACAATGATAAAATAGATGAGAATGATGACGAAGCGAAAGCTGATGAAATTCCATCTACAATAGTGTAAAGGAATAAAAGTAAAAACAACGTAAAATGTGAATTGTATGGTGTTCTGAGGTTCACATCAATCCATTTAAATCACACTTGATTAATTCAACCATTAAAAAACGAATAAATGCGTGATGTATGCTACTTATTTTGACAGATACAAGTAGTATGTAGTACCAAAATGAAATAGAGTGCCTTTTAGCAAAATTTTCAGATTGAATTACGAAAATGTTATAATCTCTTTCTTACGGTTATGACCCAGCTATTCCGTTTGCTTAGTATTCTCGGACACCGAATCACTCGACAAGTCCCCAAATCAGAACACGGTTGAGCAGGAAAGAGATTATATTCCAAATAACTAGGTTAGATGGAAGTAAGAAGCAAGTCAGCAGCACAATAGGGAAAACGTTAGTATATTTATAGTTTTTACATGAGAACATTCTGGAGTGTTCACTAAGTGTTGACTAATGCTGGTTGGATAAGAATTAGCCTATCAGCGTGCGCCAAAGCAATCGTGCATTGAGCATGCTTTAATCTAGTCTATGTCCCGCTAACAGAAAAACAGAAAAGGAAACGGTGAGGAATTGGAATGACAGGCGAATATGAGGAATGAAGAAGTATGTACAGGACAACTGAAAGGAGACCTGAAAATAAAGGACTTAATTTTGCGAAAGCATTGTGATATTTGACGTTAAATGATAAATTGGTTATCCCCACAAAAGTGTTCGTTCAGTGCATTCGAATATTGTGTAATAACGTTTTACTGTTAATAGCACTGATTAATACTGACAGTTATTATATTTTCATCAACTGAATTAAATAAATTAAACAGTTACTTTTGACAGCCTCTATTCATATTTTTATATCATACTATGACGTTTTTCTAGCTTATTAATACCAACGTGAAGACAGTTCTACCTCGAGAAATATAACAACCATCATCAAAAGTGCACAAGTATTTATAAACAATTATTTAAGTAAAATATCGAATGTCCGTATGCCGGATACCATCAGCAACAGCCAACTGTGCGAGAGAACAAACTAGCTTCTAAATGAAGAGGAAATTAGGAAAAGACGCTGGATAAGACATGTATTGCGTAAATCATCAAACTGAATCGCGAAGCATGTCCTAAATTGCAATGAAAGGGAGGATCAGAAGCAAACATCAAAAGAATCAATAGCAACTGGAAAGGATTTTTTAGAACAGAGTTCCAGGAAGAATTCTGGCGGCCTAAGCTCCTCACGAGGGTTAACAAGCGCAAATAATGATGCCAAGCTAGGTTAATTACATTAATTTTACATTGAAATTTAATCCAAACATAAAGAATGCCTTTGATGTAAAAAAAAGCCCATATCAACAAAAATATGTTTGTATATATATTTTGAAAGCAAGAGAAATGGAAAGGTCAGCGGCAATAGGTAATACCAAACGATTGTTCAGACTTTCTAGGGAACTCAACTGTTAGCGAAACTTTCTCAGAAAAAGACGGATACATTATACTTTCTCAATCCAGGAGATTGGATCGATGGGTAGAACACTTTAGGGATCAGTTCAACTGGTCTTCAATCACACTTCGGTTTCCCACGATCCCCAGTCAACCTGAATGGCAAGTTAATGTAGGTCCTCCGCCTCTTTACAAAGTTGTAAAAGCCATAGGAAATCTGAAGCAAGGGAGAGCAGCAGGCCCTGACAGGTTTACTCCTGAGATTTTTAAAGATGGTGATCCAGTATTAGCAGTGAGATTAACTGAGGTCTTAGGTAGAATTTGGGAACTGGACGTAATCCCATCTGACTGGTCTCAGTCACTGATTGTGCCAGTCTATAAGAAAGGACAAAAGTCCTCTTGTGACAATCACAGGGGAATCAGTTTGACTATTATAGTGTCTAAAATATTAGCTTCAATAATACTTCGACGCCTAACCAAAGCTCGTGAAGAACAGACTAGAGAAAATCAGGCTGGTTTTCGACTTGGACGTGGTTTTATGGACCAGATATTCACACTACGTCAGGTCCCAGAACATAGACACACATCAAGACGCCCCACAATCGCAGTATTTCTCGACCTTAAGGCGGCATTCAACCCTGTTGATCGTGAGGTTTTGTGGCAGTGTTTGTCACTGAAAGGAGTACCAAAGAAGTACATTACCTTGTAAAAGTTCTCTACTCCAACACAACTGGTCGAGTGAGAGCTTATGTTGAACTGTCATCAGAATTGATTACCTCAATTGGTGTTCGACATGGCTGTCCACTTGTGGTGGACCAGACAATGTACGAGCGTAAAAAATATTGACAAAGTTATTTAAGATCAATAGTGCTGTTAATATATATAAGTTAATTGTTACAAATACAATGGAAAATAGGGACTTTACTTAAATTCACTAACTTGATGGGTGTCCGCATTTGATCTGGTGTTGAAAATCCACAATTATAAATGTTTGATAATTCCAATCAAGTCGATGAACTCTCCAATAATATAATCCAATATAAGGAATGATACATTCCCAATCACAGTCTATAAATGATGATAATATTCGATTTGGGCTGCAGTTAACTCAATCATAAATGAATGTAGAACAAGGGATATGTGTGCAACAATGTATTTGTTAGCAATCCACGATATGTCATGCTATGTAAGTTACACAACGGAAAGTTTGTTCAAGGTCATTCACTTAAATAACACGTACAGCCATTTCACGACAAATGTACATACAGTGGAAAATTGGCAAAACAAGCACAAATAACATTAAAAACTATTCACAAAATAAGCTTCTCAGGCATATCTATACACACTCACTCCACTCTTGTTCAACTTTGTCGTTGACGTGCTTTTAGAGATAACACTTTCCTCGTCCAGATTTCCAGGGGTTGAAATTCTACCGGGAGATTCACTTTTTGACCTAGAATATGCCGATGACATAGCTCTATGTGGTGAAGACGCTGACAAAATGCAGAGTCTTCTGACCACTCCAAGCAACAATGCAAGCATGTTAGACATGCGATTCTCTCCCTCGAAATGTAAAGTCTTGCTTCAGGATTGAGTTGCATCGACACCCGAACTAATGATAGGAAGTGAAGTAGTTGGGCGTGCCGACCGCTTCACTTGTCTTGAAAGTTTGGTGTGTGACGAAATCTCAGCACGGATACAGAATGCTCGACTAGATTTTGCCAACTTGCATCATTTATGGAGTAGGCGAGATATCCGTCTATCAACAAAAGGACGGGTTTACTGTGCAGCAGTTCGTTCCGTCTTACTTTATGGCAGTGAAACATGGCCAGTAAGAGTAGAGGATATTCGTAGGTTACTAGTATTTGATCATAGGTGTCTTCGAAATATTGCTCGTATATCGTGAAAACACCGAGTAAGTAATTCAATTGTTAAGAAACGGGTACTAGGTAAGGATGGCAAATCGATTGATAACGTAGTGAAACTGTTGCACCTTCGTCTGTTGACGATGCAGCACTAATCGACTGGATCTATAATACTAGTCGGTTATGTGTTGTTAGATTAGAAAGTTCCATCAAAGTGAGAAGAAACCGGCGTGAGAAACGATGTCTTTTCGTCATCTCTGCCATGCCTCGACAGATTGCAGCCCGGATGAAATCAAGGATGAGTTTTACCACCAATTATCTGTTCTTCTCCAGAAATAGCGTTCGATAGATGTTTTGGTACTAGCCGGAGACTTGAATGCTCAGGTCGGTCGTCTAGGCATAGAAAAGAGTCGTTTAGGTGGCGAATGAGGAATCGTTGGTCGCAGGTCAGATAACGGGGACCGTCTAATGCAACTATGCACAGACCACAACCTGTTTCTGGCTAGCACTAACTTTCGGCACAGTCATCGCCGATGTGCTACCTGGCGTCCTCCCTCTACACCCCAAGCCTGGACTGAGATTGATCACATCGCGATCAGCTACCGCTGGTGTGGTTGTGTACAAGACTGACGCTCCTTTTGGAGTGCCTATCTGGACTCTGATCATACCCTGGTCTGCGCCAATCTTACCTTACTTTTCAGTGGCCAACGAAATGACCGTCACCAACGGATTGATGTTAGCAAGGTGGTTGCAACTTCTGTTGCTAGTAAGCATCGAACCGAGCTAGTTTCTAGGTTAGCTTCCATTCCACCGAAACGTATAGATGGGCATTAGTTGCAACTGCATGAAAATGGCGAGTAAAACCGCTCACTATTTCGCGATGTGTATTTGTTGCCTGGAGAAATACTACTCGACCTTGAGTATGCGAATGACATTGACTGACTGTGCGATAATCCTGAAGCCATGCAATCCCCAATTATTCAGTTGGCAATCAGTATCTGTAGGTACGGTATATGCTTTGGACCTTCGAAATGCAAAGTACTTCATTGAGACTGGCAGGATTCTAATCCAGTACTAACCCTGGATGTTGAGCAAATATAAAAAGTCGAGAAGTTTGTGTATCTAGGTAGCTGTGGAAGTGGTGGTGGTGGCGTGAGTGATGAAATCAATGCAAGTATAGTGAGATTCAGAGCAGCTAATGCCATGTGGATGTTAGACGACTCTCTGTATTCGATCATCGTTGTCTCCGAAGGATTGCTGACATCCAGTAGTAACACCATGTTAGTAATGCAGAGGTTCGGCATCGTGTGTTCGGGCACGGAGACGATGACGCGGCTGGTGCCACCATCTTGAAACACCGACTACGGTGGCTTGGACATTTCATCAGAAATATGTGAATCATTAGGAAAAGCCATATTTGGTACAATAACATGAGAAATCTGATTAGTTGGTTGATTAGGAACTGTTGTCTTGCAAGAATTCTTAATTTCATTTAACTCTGAACTGCCATATGACTCTGCACTGTCTTTTGAAGTCGTTGATAGAGAGAAATGATCATCATGAATACTCGACTCAGTAGAATCAGAATTACACATTTAAAGCACTTAGAATTACGAAATTTACATGAATTAAAAGAGTGGAACATGCCACATGACAATTACTGACCAAACTTGTGCCCATCTTCCTGAAACGCAT